GTAACATACTACACTACTCTAATGCAAGCAGTATAGAGAAGAATAGGCGATATCTGGTGATCAGGGGGGGCTTGCGTGGTTGCTCTGGCAAGAAGGAGGGGTCATCAACTCCGTAATCGAACTGGGCAGCAGCAGCATCGGTCTTGTAGTCTACCGGAGAGAAGAGGGGGAAGAAACAATAAATACAATGCAAACATAAGCATGACGATGCATGACATGACAAGAAGCGGTGTTAGGTGTGCCTTACCGCGGTAGTAGGTGGCACCGGCGAAAGGGGGAAACATTCGGGAAAATATCCCCAGTGTTTCACGTTTTCAGACAAATGAACCGGAGGTGAAATGTTGCAGGTTCACTATGCTAGGGACGCGTGGCGATCGAACGGGCTACGTACCCGGATTCGTCTCGTCGTTCTAAGCAACTTTCATGTACAAAGTTTATCCATCCGAGTTATGGATTATTTTATATTAATTTTTAAAGTTTTAAATCATTTTCTGGAAGTAACAGCTTATTTTAATTCGAAATTACATTTATGACGCCAGCATGTCATCAGCAGTCAACTCTGACCGTTGACTGGTCAAGCTGACACGTGGGTCCCATTGGTCATAGACTCAGGTTATCTAAACCGGGTTAATTAGACTAACTAAGTGATTAGGCTAACTTATTTTAATTAGATTAGTTAAATAGGATTAATTAACTCATTAATGAATGAATTAATTAATAATTTATTTATTCTAACATTTTTTCCTCTCTTTTTTAACAAAAACGTTCTGGGGCGGGGCCCCCTTGTCATGGGCAGGGGGTCTTTTGCGGGCGCCGGTGCTAGTGGGTTACGGGCACAGGGCGCGTGGGCGCCAGCCTAGTAGGGTGCTCGCCCAGGCCATCTCCGGCGCAGCGGGGCGCCGGAGACCACCGTAGCCAGCTGCAGTAGCCGAAGGGGAAAAGGAGCAGCAGCATGGCAGCGCTGGCGGCACCAAAGCGGGGCAATCAAACAAGTCAGGCGGTGAGCCACAGGCGACAGAAGGAGTTTGGGGCGCCATGGTAGACGGCGGGCGTCGGACGCCGTAGGGCGCAGCAATCGACATCGAGGGGGTGGGCTTCGACAGCGGCGATAGTAGAAGCGAGCAGCCGCGCGGGGAGTGGTGGCATGTGCGCGTAGGTGGACGTGGGTCACGGCGAGCGCGACCAAGGCACGAGAGGGGAGGAGAAGAGGCTCACATCAAGCCTGTCGTTGTGCAATCGCGTGCTCGGGGAGGGCCTGAGGTAGACGGACGGCAGCGACGAGGTCGGGGTCGTCCAGCAAGGTGGCACCGATGATGTCGGGGCGGTCCAAGGCGACGTCGAGGTGCAGGCGATGGAGATGGCGTGGCGGGCGGCAGGGCTCCGGCGAGGTGGAGCCAGGCGCGATGGGGTCGATTCCCCGATGCAATCCAGGGGTTGAGGGAGGAGCGGGGAGGCGTCCGGCAAGTGGCGGTGGTCGGCGACGGGGCCGGGGCGGCATCGGGCGGCGGCGGCGGAGGCGAGTGCCACAATCCCGATCTCGATCGGGGGTAGGAGGAGAGGAGCGCGGGGATCGTGGGGGGGAGTGGGAGTTCTTGCGGGTGGTGGGCTAGGGTTTCGGTGCCCGGGGGGATAAGGCAGTGCGTGGGGCGGCTGGGCCTTTGCCCAGTTGGGCTGGCCAGCTTGGGCCACGGTTGGCCCAATGGGTTTTTTTAGTTTTTCTTTTGTTTTGTTTTATCTAATTTCTTTTTATTTATTTTCTTTTTAAAGTTTTCTTTTTTTAGTCTATGTTTTGCACTTAAACCAATTAGCAAATGAGTTCCGTAAATTGTGGAGATGGACACCTAATTAGTATTGCAATATTAGGTGCTGCCACAAAAAGGTTGGCACTCCAAATATTAGTTTATATTTTTATAACTTTATCAAAGGCATTTAATTAATTGGTTTTGTTGTTGTTTTGTTTATTTTGGAGCATTTAGGCATTATATAAAAATGTGTTTCCTCCACCATTATGACATAGGATTTATTTGTCCCATTTTGGACATTTGAGTTTTAACGTTTGAAAAATTTACCGTTTGACTTGATTTTGAATTTAAATTTGAATCGGTCTCGAACTAACACGGGATTACCAACAGTAACCATCGTGACGTGGCAACATTAACAGAGGTTTACTGTAGCTTAACTACCCGGGCGTCACATCAAACTCTTTACCATTGTCGTCAAGACCCAGATGACTTTTGGTTAGCATTAGCATCATGTATCCTTTGCAGTCTTGCATTCCAAACTTCTCCAGGCAATATTTGAGGTATTTCTCTTGTGATATGAAGATGCCATTTCTCTGCTGACGGATTTTAAGACCAAGGAAAACTTCAGCTCACCCATCATGGACAACTGATATTGCTCTTGCATAATGTGCCCAAACTCATCACTGTATCTCTTGTCAGTGCAGCCGAAGATAATGTCATCCACATAGATTTGGCACACAAACGGTTCACTGTCATATGTCTTCGTGAAGAGTGTCGGATCTAGAGAACCAGGTTTGAAGCATTTGCTCTTCAGGAAGCCTTTGAGTGTGTCATACCAAGCGCGAGGAGCTTGTTTGAGGCCATACAGTGCCTTGTTGAGCTTGTATACCATATCATGATGTTTTGGATCTTCAAAGCCAGGTGGTTGTGCAACATACACTTCTTCTTCAATCTTGCAATTGAGGAAGGCACTCTTCACATCCATTTGGTATAGAAGGATGTTGTGGTGGTTGGCATAGGCTAGCAGTATGTGAATGGCTTCAAGCCTTGCCACGGGAGCAAATGTTTCATCGAAGTCAATTCCTTCTACTTGAGTGTAGCCTTGAGAAACTAGACGAGCCTTGTTTCTGACAACTTGACCATGCTCATCTTGTTTGTTGCGATAGATCCATTTGGTGCCAATGATATTGTGCTTGTGAGGATTAGGACGCTTGACCAGTTCCCAGACATTGTTCAGCTCGAACTGATGAAGCTCTTCTTGCATAGCTTGAATCCATTCAGGTTCCACTACAAAAAAATACACTTCCGTGATGATACGTGTTTGTCACAGTAGGTCGCGTTTTTTGTCATGCATGTACATCCATGACGATTTTATGACAGAATCAAGATAGTCATACATGTGCTGTCGTAGAAGTGCTCCATGACATTACCAAAATTATCATCACGGAAGTGTCCACATCCATGACGATAAATCGCGCGTCATAGAAGTGCTTTCGTCAAGGGTGATCGACACGTGGCATCCACCGTAATGGGATGCCGTTAAGTGTCGTTAAGCTAACGGGTCCGGTTTTGGATCCGATAACCCGCTAACAGCCACGACCAATGCCGATTTTCCATGTGTAAAATTCTCATTAGCCGACGGAACCACGCGTTAGCTCCGCGTTGGCACAGGTGTCACTCATCCAACGGTCGAGATGGGCCTATGATATGTTGACACGTGGACGAGCCCAAAAGTGGCCCATAAAGTTTAAATGGGCCGGCCCAACTAAAGGCCCATAAGATTTAGCGGACCATAATGGGCCAGCCTAGCTAAAGGCCCACAAGATTTTGCAAACCATAATGGGCCGGCCCAGCTAAAGGCCCGCAAGATTTAGCAGACCACAATGGGCCAGCCCAGCTAAAGGCCCACAAGATTTTGCAGACCATAATGGGTCGGCCCAGCTAAAGGCCCAACATTCTCTGTTAAGGCCCATACAGCTAGTGTCAAATCGGCCCATCAACGGCCTGTCCTAAACTTGTCATCATCGCGGCCCATGGTCACTTCTGTCCCGTTAATAGTCCGCTAAGTATTTGGGCCGAAATTACGGCCCGCTGTATTTCTGGCCTGTTAATGTGTATCCACACATGGAAGGTTGCTACTGATGCTCTTGCCACAAACTGGAAAAAAGAGACCGCCACATTGCTAAAAGAGCTACATGTCCAGTTTGTGATAACGCATCCATTCTTTGGGATACTATGAAAACTATGTGGACAATCCCGACGAAGGAAGAAGTCATCAACACGGGAGAGGAGTGGTTGCTGCATCTACTTAGCTCTCACCCAGCTATCACCAGAGAGATGATTATTATGCTACTATGGAGAATTTGGAACCTCTGTAATGATCTGACACATGGAAAGTATATCCCACCTACGGAGGTGTCCAAGAATTTTCTATGTTCATATTTGAACTCAGTTCGTGATGTTCATCATCTATCAGTTGAGCAAGTCATTAAAGGGAAGACACCGGCCAACTCTCTCATACATGGTTGCAGTGACGCGGCCCGACTCCCTGTTCTCCCCTGGGAACCACCTCCCATGGGCAGTCTGGCCCTATCGGTTGACGGATCTTTTTCACCGGATGAGGGAACAGCGGGGGCTAGGATGGTACTTCAAGATAGTCAAGGAGGTGTCACGTTCTATATTTCTGCAATGATGCCCTCGAAGCTGAGCTACAGGCAATATTAAAGGGGTATGAATCTTGCTTTGCAATGGTCTACCCTGCCGATCGTCGTGCAATCTGATTCAATGGATGCTCTGTCAGCGTCATGAGATGACTCACTAGCCAAATCTATCTATGGTAATTTGATGAAGGAAATTAAGGCTTTGATGGAAGAACGGGAGTTTACTACAATGAAGATAACAAGATCACATAATATGGTTTCTCAATGTTTAGCTAATTATGCTTGGATGGAGCATAGTACCACGTGTTGGTTACATCGTGCTCCGCCTTTTCTTAGTCATCTTGTATTAGCAGATTGCAAGCCTATTAATATGGAATAAAACTCCTTTTCCTTGGAAAGAAAAATAGAATAACAAAGGTTGGGATGGCCTCGGCCACAGCTTTGAACATCATAGAGTTCTTAATGAGGATGTAGAAGCAATTATTATTTTTATCTTTATAAAATATAAAAACCAATAAACTTAAACAGCAATTCTTAAATAAAAAAACTTAAACAAGGATAACGGTGCTTCCACTGGCAGTGTTCATTTGAAATTAAACTAAAAGAATATGGAGAAATCGTTGTCGCCGCCGTCAGGCTTTTCCTCAGACGTGCCAGTGACACTCAAGGCAAACGTCTCACGCACAACCTTCTCTACGTCAAGCGTCTCCGCGTCTGCCCCCGAGCCTGCACTGTCGTCGTCCGGCATTGGGATAAACGGAGGCTGTGCCACATCGAGGACGCGGTCCCAGCACACGCCACGGAAGAAGGCGTGCCGCTTCACGCCATTGGCACCGAGCCGCTTGCTGGAGTCCTTTTCCAAAAGCCGGGCAATGAGGTCGCGCAATGGCGTCGGCTCGCCCGGTAGCTCCGGCTGGGCGGTGAGTGTTCGAGAGGAAGAGATCGAACACACTTGTATTCACAGGGTTCGGCTGAACTTATACAGGGGAGGCGAGCCCACGATCACCATCGTGGCAAGGCCATGATGAGGAGTGGAGGTCATGCGTGTTGACAGGGAAAACTACACGCACGCACACATGCACTCGTACAATACACAGTACAATACACAGCAGTATTCTAACACCCCCCCGCAGTCTTGGCGTTGTTGTCAGAGACGCAGAGACTGGAGCGGAAATCAGCAAAGACTGAGCTCGGCAGCCCCTTGGTCATCACGTCGGCAAGTTGCTGCGCGGTCGGGACATGCATGACGCGAAAGTCACCGAGAGCCACGCGTTCCCGGACGAAGAGGATATCGAGCTCGATGTGTTTGGTGCGGCGATGGTGAACAGGATTGCTCGAGAGGTAGACGGCGGAGATGTTGTCGCAGTAGATGACAGTCGCCGCGTGCACCGTGCATCGAAGTTCACCGAGGAGTTGCCGGAGCCAGATGCATTCTGCCACGGCATTGGCGATGCCGCGGTATTCCGCCTCAGCGCTGGAGCGGGAGACGGTGGCTTGGCATTTGGACGACCAGGAGACAAGAGCGTCCCCGAGGAAAACACAGAAGCCGGAGGTTGATCATCTGGTATCGGGGCAGCCGGCCCAGTCGGCGTCGGTGTAGGCGCGGAGATCCAGCGATGTTGACGCCCGGAGACGAAGACCAAGCGTGGGCGTCCCACGCACGTAGCGCAGCACACGCTTAAGCAGTGCGTTGTGCCACTCGCGCGGGTCGTGCATATGAAGGCAGACTTGTTGAACGGCGTAGGAGAGCTCCGGCCTGGTGATGGTCAGGTACTGCAGAGCACCGGTGAGGCTGCGGTACTGGGTAGGATCATCAACCCGAGGGCCGTCGGCAGATGGCAGCTTGGCCTTGGTGTCTACTGGAGTGGGTGATGGCTTGCAATTGTCCATGCCATCCCGCTCCAGGATGTCCTCCGCGTACTGAGCCTGAGACAGGAAGAAGCCGGAGCGCGTCCGTGTGACATGAATGCCGAGGAAGTAGTGGAGGGCGCCGAGGTCCTTCATGGAGAATTTGCCAGTGAGACGCGCGATCACTTGTCGGAGGAGCGCGTCGGAGGAGGCGGTGAGGACGATGTCGTCGACGTAGAGGAGGAGGTACGCCGCGTCGAAGCCGCGAGCGTAAGCGAATAGAGAGCTATCCGAGCGCGTCGCCGTGAACCCGATGGTGGTGAGGAAGGTGGCGAACCGGAGAAACCAGGCCCACGGGGCCTGTTTAAGTCCATACAGGGACTTGGTCAGGCGGCAGACATGATCGGGCTGGTCAGCGGCGACGAAACCAGTGGGTTGCATGTAGTAAACTTCTTCTTGGAGCGTGTCGTGCAAGAACGCATTCTTGACGTCGAGCTGGTGCACAGGCCACTGTCGCGAGGCAACTAGCATGAGGACGGTGCGCATGGTGGCGGGCTTGACGACGGGGGAGAATGTTTCGCCGTAGTCCACGCCCGCGCGCTGGTGAAAGCCGCGGACGACCCACCATGCCTTGTACCGTTCGAGGGAGCCATCGGCACGCGTCTTATGTCGGAAAATCCATTTCCCCGTGATCACATTGGCTCGAGCGGGGCGCGGGACGAGAGCCCAGGTGCGGTTGCTGACGAGCGCCGCGTATTCCTCCTGCATGGCAGCGACCCAGTTGGGATCGCGAAGGGCCTCGCGAACAGAGCGCGGGAGCGGCGAGATGTCCGGCGAGGGGTTGGTGGCGGCGGTGGTGGCGATGCAGACGTAGCCGCGATCGTACTTGCGGTTGCGCTTGACCACCCCAGCGCGCGCCCGTGTAACAATGGACGGACGGGCGGGGGAGGAAGGCACCACTGCTGAAGAAGACACCGAAGCCGAGGAGGGTGACGATGGCGCGCTCATAGGGGAGACCGGGGCACCGCAGCTGGTCGAAGAGGGGGGGTGCCATCGGATGAAGATCCAACAGAGGCGTTCAAACGCCCTGAGCCCCCACCAAGTGTTGGGGAGGGAGAGCCGCCCGATGAAGATCCTGCGGTTGTGCTTGAACCAGTAGGTAGCGCACGCGAAGTGGGCGCGATCGAGGCCGTTGATTGGATGGGCACTGGAACCAAACGAGGGGAGGGAGGTGGGGAGGGAGAAACGGTGTCGACAGCATGGGCGAAGGGGAAAATCTGCTCGTCGAACCGGACGTGGCGTGAGGTAAGGACGCGGCAGGTAGCAGGGTCGTAGCACCGATAGCCGTGGTGATCATGAGGGTACCCGAGGAAAACGCATGGCAGCAAGCACGGCGCAAGTTTGTGGGGTATCGTGGAGGTTGTATTGGGATAGCACAGACACCCAAAAACCCTGAGGGTGGAGTAGTCAGGAGCGGTGCCAAGCAGCAGTTCATGTGGTGACCGCGGCGACGTGCCGGAGCAGGGTTTGTAGTTAAGGAGCAGGGTGGCTGTGGCAAGGGCTTCTGCCCAGAATCACGCTGGCATTGCGGCGTGGAGAAGCAGCGAGCGAACACTATTGTTGAGGGTTCGAAGAACGCGCTCCACCTTGCCGTTCTGTTGGCTTGTGTAAGGGCACGAGAGGCGGAAGACAGTGCTGTGCTGAGTGAGCAGAGAGCGGAGAGGGAGATTGTCGAACTCTCGCCCATTGTCAGTCTGCAGAGCGAGGATCGGGCGCTCGAATTGGGTCTGAACATACGCATAGAATGCAGTGAGAGCCGAAATGACTTCAGACTTGTTGCAAATGGGAAATGTCCACACGTAATGAGTACAACTGTCGAGCACTACAAGATAATACTGGAAACTTGAAACACTACTGACAGGCGATGTCCAAAGATCTAAATGCAGAATTTGAAAAGGGAAAAAGCTACGATGCGTCGAGTCGGAGAACGGCAGCCGGGCGTGCTTGCCCAGACGGTAGGCACGGCAGCTGTGACGAGTCGACGGACTGCAGGTGAACGATGTGTGACGAAGGGCTCGCCGCAGTGCCTCTGCTCCAGGATGCCCAAGCCGTTGGTGCCAGAGCTCAACGGTGGCGACGCCGGCGAAGGGAGGAGCGGGGTGAGGAGATGAGCCAAGGGCCACACGGTAGAGATCACCAGTGGAATCACATCGCAGAATCGCCTGGCGGGTGCGGATGTCCTTGACAGAAAAGCCAAATTTGTCAAACTCAACTGTAACTGGATTTTCACGGGTGAGTTGGCGGACAGACAGTAAGTTTTTGAGAATGGAAGGGGAAAGTAGAACATTGCGGAGGGTGAGAGGGCTGGAGGTGGTGATGAGAGAACCCTGCCCGACGTGAGTGACCGGAATGCAGTCACCACTGCCTACGACAATCTGAAGAGAAGTGGAAGGATGCAGGGAGTGAAGATTACCCGAGTTCGAGGTCATGTGCGCCGTCGCGCCACTATCCATGTACCAGTCCGTCGTGCTCCCAGATGGTGGAGAGGACGTGGACGTGGTGTGCAGAGTAGCCTGCAGTGGCCCCATGTTCCATGGCTGTGGCGGAGGAGGCTGGGGCCCGGTGCTGGAGCTCGCACCAGGGTCACCGTAGGTGTAGCCGGGGTTGGCGTAGGGGAAGTAGCCGTACGGGTTGGGTGGCGTTGGCGCAAGCCCGGCGAGGTACGCCTGCTGGTGTGGAATGCCAGGGCGAGGGCCGAGGACGCCGGCGCCCGGGGCATGCCATGGCATGGGCCATGCCTGGACCATCCCCGTCCAGGAGTTGGCGACGGGTGCTGCACCAGGAAGAGCTGCAGGCGGCGCTGGTGGCGGGGCGGGAGGTGGCGCCCCCCCGGAGCCCCGTCCCCGACGACGGCCACGTCCGCGGCCACGCCCAGAGTCTGCTGGTGAGGAGGGAGCGGGAATTGGGGAGGCAGGGCGCGGCACAGGCACCGGAGTCGGGGCGCGCGCTGCAAGGAGAGCGTGGGCAGACTGTTGGCGTGTGGACTGCTCCGCATGGTGCTCCTCAAGGAGGAGGAAAGAGCGGGCCTGCAGAAATGTGGGCAACGGGACACGGGAGGTGAGGTGGGGAATGGCATGGTGGTACCGCGTGTTGAGGCCGCGCAGCATGTTGAATAGTTGCTGCGTGTCGGTGATCTGTTGCCCGAGGTCGCGGAGCTGGTCGGTGAAGGACTTGAGGCGGGTGTCATGGTCCTAAGTCTGACAGTAGAATGGGGGGTAGGTATGGAGAGGCAAGATCCTAGCTATGGAGCAGTTGTATACGCAAGGGATGTACGAGTTCAGGCCCTTCTCGGAGGAAGTAACAGCCCTACGTCTCGGAGCCCGGAGGCGGTCGACTGGATTATATGTGTATGAATTACAGGGGTGCGAACCCTTTACACTAAGGAGGGGGTGGCTTATATAGTGTCTGCCAGACCCCTCCGGCCCTCAGTTATGCAGGGTTTAAAGTACATAAAGATGGGCGTTACTGGTAACGTCTTACATAAAGCGTCATCATGACCATAAAGGCTATTTAATTAAAGACCGTTCGGATGTAGAGTGGCTCTTGATCTTCTGGTGGTCGAGTGAATCTTCATGGTCGAGTGCCTTCGAGTCTGTCGAGTGGAATCCCTCTTGGTCGACTGGACGACAGTTTCTTCTGAAGGTGTCCTTGGGGAGGGTACTTTGGCCAGGTCCGTGACCCTACCCTAGGTACGTGACTTTATCATTAGCCCCCGAATGGATCGAGGTTTGAGTGAGGAAGGAGTTGGTAATCTTTCCGACCCGTTTTTGTGTTCTGAACATGTCTCATCTTGGACCAATAAGTCTTTGCAATGACGGCAGCAACTTTTCTTTCAGTCGACTTGATCCATTCCTTTCTTCTGTCGAGTGAACTTTTGAACTCAGTGAACTTCTGAGCGACGGATCGCAGGAAATCTTATCGTCTGACAGATTGATCTGCTGTTGGCGGATTTTGCGGGATCCGAATTTTGGGAAGCGCGCAAAGCGGGGCGGCCCGCTGTACTCGGATGGG